TACTGATAAGTAAAGGAAGTTCAACCAGACAGTTTAATCCTCCAATTTCCTGTCTTCTAATCAGCCACTGACTCCTCTGGCTTTAAATTAGAAACATTCATGGTAATATTCAGGACAGGTGAAGGAAAAGAGTAAAAAACAGCTAGGGCAAATACTTGTAGGCAAAAGGAGACCACGTATAGAAAATGATGATGCTATAAAGTATGTGTAACGATGCACTGAATACACGTCTTTAAGTTATATATGGAATTTAGCAACTCAGAGAAGGAATAATTTTATTAAAAACATTTATACAGCAGCTGAGCAGTGTATGAACATGTGAGAGTTACTATATAAAACAAAGAAAATCCATGCTGCAATGTTACACTGTTCACACTTTGTTATTTTTATAGAAGCAGGAGCAGGGTAATTATTAATACATGTATGCTTTCTGATATACAGTAAGTTATAAGTAGGAAGCACAAATCAGCAAAGCCACGTATGGTTCAACAGCATGTGGGGATTACCATGATAAACTTAGATGAGAGTATGCATATGCACATATGTATAGATACGCTCAGTGATTTCAATGAGAAATACTACTTTTGAGCGTTTCATGCTTCTGACTTTTTTAGCTTCGGTAGTGATAATTAGCCTTCCATATGATGAAATTAAATATTTATTAGATGTGCCATTATTTTTAATCTCATATAGTGAGGACTCTATTAATTCTTAATTGATGGAAATGCTAGTAACGTTTTGAAATTTTCATATTTTTTTTTACTGCATAAATTACCTGAGTAATTTCAGCTACTCCTCTGAAAAAATGGAGCACAGAGGTATGAAAAAAGTATCTACCAAGAGCTTCAGTGAAAAAATGATGTTGACTTAAAAACCTTTAAAGTAACAAAATGACAATTTCCAAGTCCAGTCCTACTATCTTTAATAAATTCCCTTTTAACTTACAGCACCTAAAGAAAATAAAGGCATATACACTGAACTATGGATCGATAGCTGGATAATAAAACTAGAAAACAGTTCTTTCAGAAAGTGACTGGAAGATCTGCTTTAACTGTCGTATTCAGTAACAGCAGTTTGCATGCTAACTCATACATGGAGTCATTTGAAATGGCTTCTTATTTATTAATGAGGCTTTTTTCTTCAGATATTTCACAAAGAGAACAGTTTGGGTTTTGAAACTGTTTGCAATGTGATAACTCAAATTATGAGGGTCAAAGTTGGCTCTCAGTCACTCAGGTAAGTAAACCTGGAGTCGCTCCACTCCTCTTAATGCAGTGACTCCAGGCTGATGGCAGTGTAAACCTTGAGCAGAATTTGGCCCAGGGTCTTTAGGTTTGTATTGTCATTGAGAATTTTCCTCCAGTATATACCTTCGCTGCACGTGTATTTCAATAACCCCGTGCAAAGGAATTTTGCAGACAATCCCTTATTAAACACATATAATAGTCACATCATATTGGCTTGCTAGAGCAAATAATTTAAAAAAAATAATCAGCTTGAAATAAATGTTTATAAAAGTAGCACAGCTGCACATATTTGTTACAAATGCAAGACAGAGTACTGAAACTTTTCTACAACTAACCCTTTAGTGTCTCTATGACAGCACCAAATTTAAATAAGAAGTGCCAATGATTACAAAATAATGATCATTTTTCCAACAAACTAATTCATCTCATATCTTCAGGCTGCTATACCAGTTAAAGTATTTGCTATTACATATATATTAATAAAATATATAAATCCTTCTTAAACAAATTTACAGCGTTTGGGGGAAAATTTTCTGTTAAAATGTCACATTAGAATATAGCCAAAATAATACTGTTTCTACATTTACTTGATTAAAGCATAAGAAAAAAATAGATTAGGTATCAAAAGATTGCCTTAAAACTGTGGTGACAAATACAATTATTGCTAAAATGTACAGATCCTGTGGGTTCTACCGAAATAGTTTGAAACATTTCTAACTGTCTACAAGAAAGAAAAATAATATTTTTCTTTTACTTTGACCTCTTGGTATTTTGGCAAGTAACATAAAATATATTAGCCATTCCATCAGATGGCTGGAGAGAAAAACTAGCTGTGATGAGGAAAAACGAATTAAAGGAGCATTAATAAAGATTATCTATGAAAGAAAATAAGGTCAAAATTAGAACTCTGCATTTTAAAGCCACCTTTCAAAAATGCAAGCTGCTTTGCCCAATGCTAAAATCCATTCATTTTACTAATCATGCAATCAACCAATCTCCATTATCTCCAGCTAGCTAGCTATAAACATGCTATAGACTGGAGTGAAAGAGGGAGAGTGTGAGGTTGAGAGACACAGAGAGAGAGAGAAAGAAAGAAAGAAAGAAAGAGAGAGAGATTACTACACCCAGCCTTTTATAAAGCCGTTTCTTTCATTATAACAGGTCTTTTCATCAAAATGACACAGAACCTTTAAATTTGGGCATAATACTCCAGTACAGTACACAGCTATAGCTTAAAATGGATTTAGAACCTGCTCCAGAAAGAAAACAAACTCCCTCGTTTGACACACAAATTGTTTACGATTCATTAAAAAGCAAAATTGCATATCACAGTGCTGGCAGCTGAGTCCATATGGGTGCAAGGGGTATTCACTCATCTCTTTGTATGCTGGCAGTACCAAACCGAAGTTTAGCACTGTGCAGCTGAGATTTTGTGCAGCCAGACGATGCATGAGGTAATTTTAAAAGCTTTACTTGTCTTTAAAACATTAAAATCTGCTCTCTAGCTTACTTTTGATTAAAAGAATGTGGCAAATGTGATGAGGTTTGGGGGTAAAAAAAATAATAGATATCTACTTTTTGTTGTATGTTTTATATTCACAGGCTGTATGAAAAACTGCTTATTACTCCATCAATAATTGAAACTTTGTATGAAAATTATTTGCAATTAACACATCTATTGTAAAGATCTTGAATTATTCATTTCAGTTAAAAATAACATCTCTTTCATCTAGCGCAACTTCTACAGAAAAAGGCTATTTTAGTGATTTTTTTTTTTTTTTTTTTGTTCTCTTAGAAAATAAATGGTGTGACGTTCAAGTTTAAGGAGAACTTTCTGCAATGTTTAATCTAAACAACAGCATATGTGGTTATAAAACTGTTTATTTTTAGGCAAGTGCATTACTAAATGTTTCCAGCATTTTTACATATTATATTCACAGTACTAAAACATCTGTGAAATAAATGTGACTGAAATGAAACTTCCTCGGACACTTTCTATAGGGTGATAATAACTGCCTAATAATGTTTGAGGATACTTATTAAATAATAAACATGGATGTACATCATCATAAAAGCAGCTGATAGACAATAAAAGAGGAGTGGTAAGAAAATACACAAATGGCTTAGAATAAGGCAAAATCACAGCATGATATAAATCGTGTGGTTAAAACAGGTACTTGAAAACTTTGCTTTGAAAACGATAACTAAGAATCAATAGCCTTATTTACAGGGGTTTAACAAGCTAGAAAAAAGTCACATGAATAATCAACAGTTTATGTGCATGCAAATACCCCTTCCCCCTCCAACTTCCCCTGGCAGAAAGTCTAATTGGAAAATCAGTACTATAAGTAAAGTGGTTAGCCTTCCCTATTCCCATTAACCAAAAGCTGCATGTTACATTTCACTGGCAACCGCTGGCAAACCTCTAATAGACAGTTAAAAAATTAAGAGTTTAGACAAAACAAAACGGAAAAACCCGAGCCCAAACACCTTTAAATACAAGCCACATGATATACACAATGGCCACCACCAAGCTGCAGAATAAAAACCTTCCGGATCTCACTTTTAAAAGTCTTTCAAGTCCTCAGAGGTCTTAAACTTTCCAAATGATACCAAAATTGGTCCGGGGCGGCGAGGGGGAGGGAAAGCCCCCGACTTGTTTCAGCGTATCATACAATGAAAGTGATCATGCCTTGTTTTGTAATTCCACTCGCCAGTCCTTTTTTAACTGATATCTATGTGAAACGAGCTGAGGTTCACGGTCCAGTTAGGAGCGGATAATACATTCATTGTCCTGGCAGCAAACTTTTCCTCTCACTGGAAGAATTCACGCTTGCCACAAGAATAATAATTACAGAAAACTAAAAATGCGCTGCTAACGAATTAATCCCTAACGGACAACACGCTAACGAGGGCAGTAATGATTTGAGGACTCTCTTCCTCACAACAGGACTTGCATCTTCTGCCACAATGGGCTATTGTGCATCCTCCTAACTCACTATACCTCTTATAGATTCAAGATGTCAAAGGTTGTCTGGCCCGGCTGACCATGACATGCTAGTTAACTCGTTCTACGGAGCACGTTGGGACTTTATTGAAACTTTAATTGCGCCCAAAAGCAGCTAGAGCCAGACTATGTGGGATCTGTAACACATGGCTCCAGGTCAGCACAGCCCGGTAACCTGTTCTAACGTAAACAAGCGGAGGGAAAAGTTAGATCGGGGTCTCCGATGAAAGGCAGCACCTCGCAAAACACGCTCCTCTCACACGTGATGATTTTACACCACGACACTACCGCACCGTTCCAGGCTTTTACAGTAATCGACTTGCTTTGTAACGGACTGAACTTTCCACCTCCCCTCTTTACAAAATATTGCATGGTAAAAAATGCACACACACACAAATGCTTGAAAGCAGCAGATAAAGTAAAACAAACTGAGTGTTAGGCAGCCGACTGCGACAAGTTACTCTGCACAAGGCTTTTTCAAACTACTTCTTTGCATACTTTTTTTTTTTTGTTTTCCCTTTAAGGAGAATTCAAAAAGCTTCCCTCTGGAAACTGTAGTGCACATTAACGGTCTCCTGTTACACAGGGGAAAGCACACAAGTGGGACAAGTGTGAGGCTGCTCTACTGAAGAGTGTGAAAAAAATCAAATGTTAATTTGATAAATGTGAGGTCTGGGACATTTTGTCAAAGAGGGAGGGAAAGTAGAAAAGGGAGAAAAAAAAAAGCAGCCCTGCTGCCAACTCACCATCCACCAAGTTCTGGCCGAGATGTCGTAGCAGAGCTGCCATTTGATGGAGCCGTCGGAGGTTTTCCCTGCCATTATGCTGTCAGCAAGCTTCATCTGATGCTAACTCACGGGAGATAAGACACCTAATTGAGAAAACATTTGCACTGGCATGTTGGGCAACATGTAGCCCGGTCCATACCATATGGAATCATGGGTAAAAAAAAAAAATCTCCTTGACAATGAACCAATCTCTCACAGACCCAGTGGCAAGGTGAAGTGGAGATGAAAAGTCATCTGCTCCTAGCACTGTCTTCTCCTCTCTCTCTCTCCCTCTCTCTCCCCCTCTCCCTCTCTCTCACTCTTTTTTTTTTTTTTTTTTTTTTTAAATAAGAACCCACTGCTCAACATCAAAGAGAGGCGGTCAAAATTAGGGCTTCATCACTCAGATGATTTTGGTCTGCAAGGTTTTTCTTTCCTTTCCTCTTTTTTCTTTTTTAAGAAGAATAAAGAGATTTAATAGGACAAAGGCAGGTAGTGGACTGCGGAGGGAGATCGCCACAGGCTATTAGCCTAAAATTTCTGCTTGACAGATGGAACTGCTTAGAGACTATCATGCAATGTTTTGGGTGGTTTTTTTTTTTTTTTTTTTTTTAGACTTTCAGTCTGATTCAGTATCTGTTTATCGCAGCTACTTTTCTCATGTACGTGACTGGGGGGGAGAAGGGTGAGCAAAAAAAGAAAAAGATTGCATCTTTTTTCTTTCTTTCATGATTGTGCATATAATCATTCAAGCAGTGAAAGGCAAAACAAAAGTATAAACTGCTCAAGTTTATTTCTCAATTCAGTGACGGAAGCTTTCTGAAGGAATCAAATGCTCTTTCATTTTTTTGAGACGTTAAAGTTTTGGCTCTTTGTTCCTTCTTGATTTTAGATACCAGATCTTATTGTTTAAATGAATGACTTTTCATATGAATGTTCAGATGGCTAAAGTGCTCCCTAAGAACTGAATAATTCCCCCTTTTTTTTTTTAAATACAGTTTTTCTACCATATTTTTTAAAACTGGTTTTTAATGTTACATATCCTAATACCATCAGGTGATAACCACCAAAGCCTCAGAGGTTTGTTTCTCTCTCCTGCAAAACTTCTCTGCAACATTCAAAATTTACGTGAGGAACTGTCAGATAACTTGGAAAAAGACAACTCCAAACCAAACAGTTTTGAAAAGTTATGAAATCCTGCTATTGTCCAATATTAACGTCTTTTCCTGGAAAACACAGTAAAAGATAATCATATATTTTCCCATCTCAGTTTCTCACTACTTCTGGTGCACTGTAAAACCAACAAAAGTATTACTTTTATGACAGCTGACTATTAAATAGGCAGTGAATGCTTTCCATTTAAATCGCCCCGTTGTATCACACGGAGCGACGGTTGCTCGGCTATGACCACCACCACTTAATAACAGGGCACTTCAATCTATACAGTAGTGCCTTTCCTCAAGTGCTCGAAAAAATGAACTTCTGAACTGGCAAACGGACTCTTGCCAGGAATATTTCTTAGGTCTGTTGAGCTATGGCTGATATAACTTGCTCACTCAGAAACAGCTACACTCTGCAAATCTTTTTGCAATTTGGACACAAGAGGAAATGTATTAAAAATATCCACTCTATTTTAAACAATATCCGTTTCTGTTTGTATCAAAAAGGGGAGCTTGTGGGTGCACAATTCTTCATTTGATTGTTTTGTATACTAACTATTGTTTAACTATTTGGCTACAGCAAAATGACAATTCCGGGCTACATAGATTACAAAACTGTCATTCAATACAGGACAGAACTACCTTTCATTGAGCTTCAACAATACCTTCAGATTTCTGTGATATGCAAGATGATAAGCAAATTATTTAGGGTAAACACAAACTGCTAATGTAACATGCAGGGGTTAGTCTTTGGGTTTGCCCCAGCCTTAACAATCTGGACTGCACAAAAAATACATTAGTGCATGATCTATGCGACCACTTAGCATCCCAGTTTGCTTTTTTGCTCCAGATAGCAGGTATAGTCCCACTGCCATTTACAGGAAAGAGTCTGACTAGCATGGGAAGTGTTAAGTTTTAGTCCGAGTCCAGGAAAAAAAAAAATGGACACTGTGCCAGGAACTGTCCTTGCACTGGCTGGCCAAAGCATTTATCGTCTTCTGTTACTGCAGGTTCGTTAACACTACCTGTCCTTTCCGTGGCTTGCTGCTTATTGGAAAAAAACCTCCCTCCAAATAATCACACAAAATATGAAGTAAAATGCGTAAGTAACAATCAGCCTTTGAAGCGGTGTCAGAGTCAATTTTATGCTGCTCTCTCTGCTCCTATCTCTCAAACTGAACAACTTACCAACCCTGCTTATTATTTATTTAGTATTTCATACTCAGTTGTACTGCACGTCATTGCAGTCAAGTTTTGATAAAACTCTATTCCATCTATATGGTTTTCCATCACCTGATGTAGTTACAGATCTACTGACAAACTTTCTCTTGATTGCTATATTAATCACTGCTTCGAGAGTAGTTAGGTCTTCCTATACCAATATATGACTTTGCTTCCCAATATTAATTATAAACTCACTGAATAAATATTTTTTTAAAAGAGCATACACTTTTCAGTTTATGAATGACAGAAGCATGAAACCATTTCCTTCCTGACAGTATAGTAGTTATGTGCAAAGAAATGAGGAGTGCTGTTGGTTAACAGCGTTTTAAATTCAGAACAATTAGGTGCAGTTAACTTTGCCATTGTTCCTTCTGATGCTGGGGATGGTGGGTTCTTACCCGTAGAGCAATTATTCCTTTCATAAGCGGCTGTTGTTAATAGCATTAAAACAAGATTAAATACAACATGTTAAATATTGCAATTATTGTGGAAAATAAAATTATTTGGTGAGCATAATGGGGAGCAAATCAAGCATTTAACATGATCCAGGAAATGCTACTCCAAACAATTGCATTTGTTTTATGCAATTTTTCCCCTTTGATTGCTGACAGATGCCGTTTTGGAAACAAACATCTAAGTAGTTTTCCTTCAATCAGGAAAAAAACCACACACCAGAAAATGGCTACATGTTTTGAATTTAACTCTTGTCAATCAGCATTCTGCACAACACTCCCTGTGAATAGTACTGGGACAAAACGATGCCTTCCAAAGACTAATAAGCCACAAAGATGTTTGCTTCTAAATCAGATCTGTTACGAAGAAAGAAAAAGCCTTCGTGTGGCACAGACATTTGTGCAGACACAGCTGCAAAATAAAAATGCTTGCAATATACCAGTGATATTTCAAGTTTGAAGTAAGTTAGGTGTATGTGCTTGTGGGCAACGGGAGAAGAGATTTGTTTTCCGACAGCTTTAGGCCTCGAGCAATGGATTGAAGTACTTGCCAGTTGCTTTCTGACTTCCTACTGGAGAAGTGGCCAACTACCCACTAATAATTTGCTTAATTGTTGAGCAGAGTTACCTGCCGCAGCACAAACAGTACAAGCGTGCCCCTCTTTATCTCCCCTCGGCAGCACATTCGGATGAGGTCATTGTTGCTATCAAGTGAACGAAACCAGGAATGAATGCTAAAAAAGGCTAATACAGTATATTAATTCAGATGACTATATCAAGCTGGCATTTTACAGTCTACTGGAAACTGAATGCATGAGAGCATTAGAAATGTTGGCATAGCGGGTGGTTTCTCCAAATGTTGGCTTCTACTACTCATGTCGGTAAAAGAAACGTGGCAGAACTGCGTGCAGCTCCCAGTGCTAGACGCATCTTTAGGATCTTAGTACTCTTTACTAGATTATCTATTAATTGCATGGTATCCACTGCTCATTAACCCTTTCTTTAATTCCCTTCGCCTCCCTCTATTTCTTCAGTTGCAATTGCTCAGAACCTTCTCAGCTGATTGCAACAGTGTGATTTTAGATCTGTTCCTAATTTGGGAGGCGCTTTCCTTAGGAAGCCTGAACTTAAATGAGTTATGAAGAGGATTTCCTTATCTTGAACAGTGACAATTAGTTCAAGTGCCATGTGACAGCAGGCAGTTGATTTTTGGACAGCCTCTGAACTTATGCAAAGTTGCTGACAACGAGTGTGTGTTCTAGCTTTTGGAAATCCTATAATCCTGGCTTCAATCAAGAAGATCTGCTGTTGCTGAAGGCGTAAACAAGGAGAGAAGCAGCATGTGACCCCTGCTCCTGCACCTTCAAGGAAGCCCAAGCCAAAACGAGTGCAATGGTAAAGCTTATACTGGATACTCAAGGTGACACACACATTGCAGATGATCTTGCTGAACCCAGAGAAAGAGGTCCTTTACCCCATGCAGGAAAGTTGTCTTTGGAGTCTGCATTTCCCCCTGTAGCTCTGTTGTGTGTATTTCTCCCTGCATCCCTCTCGCTCCTCTGATTTTCTTCTTGCCATCTGTATTCCCCTTTTGCCTCATCTGAAACAAGCATCAAGATCTTGTTTCTGACAGAACGGTCTGTCAATATGGAAACACACTGACATCACAGACAGTGCTGTGACTTCATGTCTGAAAGAAACAGGAGGAACAGATGAAAAGAGTGAAGGGGAAGGAATGACACATACAAACATTTTTAAAAAATAAGTAAAAATTCTTCCCTATCAACTCCAAATGTAAAGGAACATAAACCAGATTTATTTTTAAGTCTAAATATAACCAACTATTTCCTAATCTGTGGCCATAACTCAGCACAACATTTCAACATGCTTTTCACCCGAGAGAGGTACCTGTCCCCTAGCAGCATGCGCTTTGCTGGCTCAAGGCCTGCGTGACAGCCAAAACACCCTCCTGAGAAGGACTAAACACGGTCTATTCTGGAAAAAAGCTAATATCAGGCATAATGCTCATACCTGGGAGAAGCCTTTAGAGGGAAAGAAGGACTCCTGCCCTGGACCAATCTAAAACATCCAAGTAAATGCAAATTCATAGAATTAAATTATCCATCAAAACCACAAACTCAGTTTTGATGCAGCTGGATCAAAGGTGGCATTACCCCACTGAGGTGGGGACACAAGACGTGCCCAGAAAATATTCTTACTGAGTACACGGAGGTGGAATATCACCATACTTTTTTTTTTCTTCCTAGAATGAAATATTAACAAAAGTGTCTAACCATTATTCCTATTACTAGGGTTTTTTTGTATAAGAATTTGGAAGGAGTTAGAAGCCCCACGTTTCCTTTGCCATTTGAAATATTTATTTTAGTTCTACTATTAGAGGGCATCCAGAAGATATTGCTTTCCTGCCATCTCCAGAGCCACTGCAAAACTCTAATAAGGAG